TGGCCGGGGGAGGAGCGGGCAGGAGCGCCGCGCGGCGCTCCTCGGAGGGGCCTGCGCGGCTGAGGCCGAGACCCCGGCTCAGGGACCCTTGGCAGGTTCCCCGCGGGAAGGATGCGGCTGGGGTGACGCACGCGGGAGTGTTGCGGGGGGTGCAAGGTGCGTTCCCGTCTCGAAGGGAAAGCGCTTCGTTTTATGTGCTTATTTTTACCGGCAGAGGAAGCTGCTTTAACTTCGCTCACGGTGCTACAGTTACACCTTCTGGGAAGCAGTTTCTGAGTCTCCTGGCGAAATGAAGTCAGATTTATTTCAGGGAAGGAAACGAGAGGGAGTTGGGACGGCGGGGCGGAGGCAAGTCAGTGAGTGACGATCCCCCCGACTCCCGCCTGTCTGGTACCCAGCGCCCGTGGGAATTCAGCCTCCGCAAACAAAAATAACAACTGCTTCCTGCTCTCCTCCTAGCGGCCTCGAGTGTGGATTTCCCAAGGCAGTCAGTTAGCCGAGGCGTTCTCTCCTTCCTGGGTGCTGCTTGCTCTGGTCTGTTTTTACATTAAACTGTAGGTCACTCTCGGAGCACGGGTTCTCAGCATCTTTTGTCCTTTAGTGTTTGGGGGAGAGACAGCCTGGTCACTGGCAAGGACAACTTTCTCAGGAAAGGCTCCCCTTTTGACTTCAGTCCTACACTGTTGAGAGGGACACAGTGTGACAATCCCATACATTCTGTAGAATGCTTAAAGCTTCCTTACAGACGGTCACTCCGAATATTTACCAACCCAAGAGTGCCTCTGGGTATCTCTGGAAATTGAAAATAGCCATAGCTGCTTTACAATGCTGTAAATGGTAAATTTCACGCATGGGTGTTTTATGAAAATAGAATGAAACCAACTGAATTTTTTTTTCGAGTCTGCTTCTGTAGGGCATGAGTAATAATGAAACATACGAGACCAAGTAGTAGATTAACCTCAGAGACCGAAAGTTGTAACGCAAGCCGTTAGTGTTTCCAGCTGTTTTTAATTATGACTGTAGAGTCTTGGACACAGAAGGGGCCATAGAAAGTATTGTTCGGTCTGTGAGCAATGACTGCCAAGGTAGAAGCCAGGACTCCTGGCTGTAGGTTCCCAGTCCTGTCTCCCGTCCTCACCCCAACAGCTTCCCTTTTTCTGTGTACATTTAAGCCTGTAGTGTTCTCAACCTTTGCAGGAGCTCACTAAGCATTTAGTGTGTTACGAACTGTTCCCAGCTCTCAGGCTGTGTTCCTAGAAAATCACCAGTTGCACACAAGTTACCCAACCCTTTATGAGGCGTTATTTTAAAATTCTAATTACGCCTTGGTTTTACAGGCTGTCGTACTGAACAGTATTTTTCCAGAATTCCAAACCTAGTTTCCTACATCAAGCCCATAGGTAACAAATTTAAGTCCAGAGAATTCTTAGTTGATAAGATTAACCACTTTTGGCATACTAAGGTGTTTCATTTTTGTTGGATTTGAGACCTGCTCATCTTATCCCTAGTATTGGCTGTCATTTTTCGCTCAGTACCTTAATAAAGTTAATATATTAAAATATACTAGTGGTGCCTCTTGATCAGCTGTCACTCCCAGGTTCAAGTTCTTTGAAGACAGTGTGTACCCTCAGCTGTGAGAGTTCATCCCACAGAAATGTTGATTGCAATGATCTGAGCTTTGCAAGGAAAGGCTTAAATTTCAGGAAGACAGTGAGAGACATGGAGAGAGATCCAAGTGTAGCTGTTTGTTCTTCATTTGAAGTCTGTCCTCAGGAAGAGAATTGCTGGCAGTTAGAGCTTTTTCACCAACTCTGCATTGTGCTTAGGGAGGGGAAACGGGGGAGGGCAGTTGTGGGATCAGGATCCGGGATCTGAGAAAATACTGGGTGGAACAGTGTAAATCTTTGAAGACAGCAGGACTTCTGTCCTGGTGCTTGGCAAACGGTAGGCACTTGCCAGATCTTTGTTACATGATGAATTCTTTTACCCAGAGGCTAGTATGATACTGGTGCCTGGGTGCAAAGTCTTGGCTCGTGTGTCTTCGTTTTAGTCACCTGCTAGGCGCCGAGCTCAGCTGTATTCTAGGCCTTTTTATTGTGGGGGCAGGTTCGGTACAAACAGTTTGGGAAGACCAAGTGCTGCCCTCTGGCTGACTCCACACATCTCTTCCCCGAGGCAATAATCTAGAGGGTGGGCCCCAACTGAGTGTCCCTCGGCTGGTGTGGCCTGTGCCAGGGTGTGCTGAGTGGCCTGTGCAGGCTGCGGAAAACGGTCTTTGCCTGTGAAGAGTTCACCTACTAACCGCTTTACCATTTACTGTTTAGAAAAGTGTGTGGAAGTGGTGAAGCGTAGTGTTGATACAAGTCCTCGAATGTATGTGTAATCTAGTCTTTTCTGATTTTTTTTAATTGAGCTATAGTTGATTTACCATACTGATTTTGGCTTTTTCAACTGTAGGAAAGACAAAATATTTAAATTGGTATAGTGTCAATTGTTTATACTTTCTGTTCCCTGTGTACCAATTTTTTTCTTACAAGGACAAGGAAAAATACTCTTTTAAATAAGCCTTTTTAAATTTGTATGATACTGGGAAGGAATGACTATTTTCTTAAACAGGAAAATGCCACTTATCTCTGTTACAGAATTTATATTACTAGTGTGACATTTAGTAGTGTACCGGCATTTACATGTGTTCCATCCTCCCTCCTGCTGTTCTCCAAGTTGGAGTGCTTAATACAGTTGGTGAGAGCTGGAGCCACGCTGGATGTCTCCACCACGCGGTACGCGCAGACCCCGGCCCACATCGCCGCTTTTGGGGGACATCCTCAGTGCCTCGTCTGGTTGATTCAAGCAGGAGCCAGCATTAACAAACCGGTAAGGCAGTGCCCATGATTGACGTGGTTTGTTTTTGTTTTCTTTTTCCAGCTATAATTACAAGATGTTGAGTTCTAAATTTAGGCTTTAATTAGAGCTTGATATCTTTACCTTTGGGCTAACTGGAATTTATGTTTATTGAATTATTTGTAGATAATTGGCCCTTCACATAGCAGTGCCGTCTGTTTAGAGAGAGGTTTTACCTGTTATGTGATTTGCTGTGATCCACAGTGAGTTGCCCAAGGTCACAGCTAGTAACTGAAGGAGCCTGGCCTTGTGCCCAGGCTTCCTGGCTCCCCTGCTTACAGCTGCCTTAACGTCATTTCCAGAGGTAATTGTGAGAACACATCTGTCCCAGTGAGAGAATGGCTGTGAAATTACCTGTAATCATCTGCGTGGTTAAGTTACCATTAGCGGATTGACCAGCGTGAGTTGATATGGCCTCAGATGTGAGTCGAGGTTGACGACCAGATGCTAAGAAGTAGCCAGGCATTGTGCAGTCAGTGACTCCTGGACGCCAAAGCGAGGTAGGGTGTTTAGCAGTTGTTTAAAACAAGGATCAGTGAGAAAGGGGCGTGAGGGATAAGCAGGCATTTGTCCTCTGGACAGACTAGTAGACACAGCATGAGGAGAGCCCTGGATTTTAGGCTGGTCTCTGTTTCTGAGCTGGAACTTACCCGCTGCCCCTCCCCCTTCCTCTGTCTCCACGCACAGCGCCTTGACGTCCTCACTCGCCTCCTGCTGTGTTGCTCTGATCCCTTGGTGGTGCCTGACCCCCCTGGTCTGCTGCTCCTGTGTCCTCCCCTTCTGGTAGCAGGGCACGTCCGCCGCCTCACCTCCATAGCCGGGCAAGTCATTTACTTGGTTGTAGCTCAGTCTCCTTATCAGTAAGACATGGATAGCCCGTGAATAGCAGTAATTACTATTTAGTATTAACATGGAGTTTTAAGTATAGACTCCTATATGATAATTTTAGTTAAGTTGTTACATAACATTTAGTTTTGAGAGATCTAAAGAAATTGTCTAATGCTGCTTTTCAGATCTTTTAAAATCTAGAACCCCCTTTTCATGTAGTGTTCTATAGCAGCTCAGTATTTTCCACAGATAAAATGTTTACGGCTTCTCCCGTCCCTGCTCCCCCCTCCTCTGAGCCGCTGTAGGGGGGCTCTGTGGAAACCCCTCCTGAAGTCCACTCCCTGGGCAGGAGTCCCCAGAGCCCACCCTCCTCACAGCTCTGCCTCTGTGTAAACAGCCCCCCGGCTCAGCACCCCCAAGTCGTCTCATGTACGAGGCTGTCACTGGGTTTTTCAAGTGCCCTGGCATTGCTCCTGGAAGGGCCTCGGTTGGCTGTGGTCTCATGTGGGGCACTCTGGCTGTCAGGCTGGACTGCTGTGATGGGCGCCTGGTGGCTCATCATGAGGCAGACGGGTTTTCTCATTTCCCACATAAGCTGATAAAACTAGATCCAGATTTTTCTTACTCTTTGTTTGTGTATTATTTTTCTGAACCGAGCATAGCATTTCTTCTTAATAACTGTTAGTTTTAACCCATTTTCTAGTCTTAATCTTTTGACATGTTAGTTACCATTCTAAGTTCATTTTCCTCGAGTTGAGTAGAGACTCTCCCTGCCATCTCTAGGTTACTGAGGCTCACATGTACTGTTTGGAGGCTGTGTGTTCTAAGTTTACCCAAAGAGGAAGTGAAGTTAGTTTTCACGTGGTTTATTTTTGTAAGTCTAGTGTCTACTCATGGGTATCACTTTTTGTAAGTGTTTGCAAGTCATCTCTTTTTACCCCTTCTAGAATGGTGCTGGCATTTGGTAGTGCCTTCAGTTTCTTATAACTTGATTAGAAATAAGGTTTTTCTTCGTTAAAATTCAAGGTGACTTGTCTTCAGATTTCTGGCACCTGTCCCACTTTCCCTTATGACTCAGAGTTTGCCAGCAGCAGTTCTAGAATCATATTACAAACTATTTGGTATTTTTGAAATATGACTGGTCTTAGCTTGAGCTGTAACATTAAAATGGCTCTTTACTCTCCCTCTCTTGGCTGCTGTTTTCTTTAAATAGTGTGTATTCTGCCTTTCCCTCTTAGATGGTCTCCTACTGTAACAAAAAACAGGAGCGAGTGGTTTTGTTTTTCTCTGTCATCTGTTGCTACCCCACCACCTTCTTGAAATAGTATAGAAAATCTTTTTTTCCTTCTCGTTTCAAAGATAGCTTTAAAAACCCTTTTTTGTTTTCTTGAGGTTTTTTGCTGTTTATTTGGCAAAACTTCATCTAAACCTCGGGTCTGCTTTTCCTGGCAGTGCTTGTGTATAATTTTTATTTATCCTTAGTATGTACCTCTTCTCTCCCCTCTCTCCCCTTTTGGGAAATAGGGGTAGGTTTTGTTTTTGTTTTCATTTTTTATCTGAGTTCACTGGATAGTTCCCTGTATAACCTCATGATTTTCTATGTTTCTTTCTTCAAAAATGGACTCTTCTGTTTGGAATTTTACTTCCCTTTTGAGCTCATTTTAAAATAAATATACATACTTTACACTGTAGTAAGCAGTTGAGTCTTTAATACTATGTTTTTCTGTAAAGTAATCTACCAGTTTCTTTCCACTCTTGCCCTAACCTCAGATTTCCCCAACGTGAGTTACTGTGCATGGGTGAAGAAGTGCAACACTGACTGGGTTTATGAATGAATTATTTTCCAACTGCTGCACACTGCACGGTTGCCCTACTCCTGCTTTGTGTCTTTGTCCCTTAATTATTAGTCTTCTGCTGCCAAGTTCAATGTCCAGAGATGATGACATGTGTTTGTTTTAGGAACTGTTGCTGCTCATTAGCCAGTTGGGGTTTCCCAGGCAGAAAGTCCTAAATCAGTTTTCTAACAGAAATGACTTTTTTTCTTTTGATTACGTACTTTTCATTACCTCTTATTTACCTGAGAGCCTATCAGTGAAATTGTATTTTAGATTTTCTCCCCATTCATAGTGTAAAGTAATTCCTTTTGTTGTTGTTAGATGACTGCATTAGTCTTCAGAGTCATGTCCTTGAGTCCGCTGCTCCCTCTGCCTCCTCCAGTGCTGTTTCCTGAAGCAGCAGTGTGCTGCTCCTGCAGCCTTTCTGAAGGTCCTTGAACAAGTCGCCCATCACACATAGCCTGAGTTGTATGCAAAGCTGGCTGTGTTTGACCCTTGTGTTCTCCCTTCCCTTTTCTTGACCCTTTAACCTCAGTCTTGTTGTCTAAAGCATAGTGCTAACTCAAGTTCAAGATAAAAAAATCCAGGGGAGGCACTGGTGATGTCACGACAGGCTGTCCTGTGGTAGATGTAGGTGAATGTGGATAGACTACACCAGACATTAGATGTTAGGCCTTGATTACTATTTTTGGTCTGAGGATAATAATTTTGGGTTTTACATACATTTGTGCTAAAATCCATCATAAAAATGATTTCTGATTTGCCATGCAGAGTGTACGAGCTGTCACTGCTGGAGAGGCCCCAGGATTTTTTTGTTCTTGAGCTGAGGATTCAAGCGAATATGCTCCTTCCTTGGTCTCTTCCTGTCTAGGTTTCATCTGCTTCAAATTTAGCTCATCATATTGTTCTATTTCAAAGAGGAATGAGGTGGTACTTGAGCTTTGTTAATTCCTTTAAAACGCAGAGGTCTTGTTGGATCTAGTTGAATGGTCATGGGGATCATTTTTGTCGTTTCAGGACTGTGAGGGTGAGACTCCTATTCACAAAGCGGCTCGCTCTGGGAGCCTGGACTGCATCAGTGCCCTGGTGGCTAACGGGGCTCATGTCAAGTAAGTGTCTTCATTTATTCTTGTCAACCAACGATGTAGCCAAGAGTCTTGTGTTTAGAGACAGGATTTAGAGCAAGCAAAAGTCCTGAGCTTTGTCTTTAATACTAGTAATATAATTTTGCTTTTTAGATCAGTTGGCCTTAGTGAGCAAATTGTTGTGTAGGTTAAGCTGACCACTGGCAGAAGGGGGCTTAATCACAGCAGCCTCAGAATTCCTGCCATCAGAGAGAGCGTATTGGGCTGGAAAGGACAGTTAACCAATTAAATTTGGAACCTGGCGTCGTTGACTTTGCCACTGACTAGTTGTGTCACCATGGGCAAGTCTTCAAACTTTTCTTTGCCAAGTTTTAATTTCAAAACTAGTGCCTTGAATTGAATTAGAGTATCTTTTCAGGCCTCTCTGGCTCGAAAAATTCTTGCAGACAATTAACTTTCCTAAATTTTGATTTTCTCATCTTTTAGCAGGTGAGAGAACATCTTATGTTTCAAAGACTATTATGACTTTTAATGATTTTATAATTCCCTGTAAAATGTAACTGTATACATTAAGAACTTCAAACTCATTCTGTGTTTTTGATACTGATGGCATTATTTTAGAATATCCTAGTTTTAGCCAGTTTACATCAACTGGCTTATTTATGATTTGCTAGAACAATATTAATATTTAAGTATATTAATTTAAAAATGTGATCTTGTATGCAATCATTAGCTAGCCATGGCATTATTCATTTATTTTAGGTATTAAATTTATTTGTATTAACTTTCTCTTGAAGATTTATTATAAAAATTTTTCTTCTGCAGTTCACAGCATTAACAAAATGGATGCGGTATTCACCCTTAAATGTTGAGTGTAAGCTGTAGAGCTCTAGTAACCAGAATAACTACGATAATACCAGCTTTTTTGTTTTACTTTGAGTGTCTGAAGTATTTCATAAAAATTAATTACAGACCACTTTATTCTCATTGGAAATGTGAAAATTTAGACTTTGGGAGAAATAAAACCCACAAAACTTAGTTTAACCCTTTGGTTTCCACTTCATTGCTTTGACTCTGTATTATGATAAATACTGAAAATAGATCCTGGACAGCAAAACCATGTAGGTTAATTCAAGGCCTGTCTAAGACCAGGGGCTGTCATCAGGCTCTTAGTATCTGAGCTTCTGTTTCATTCAGTATTGTTGTTAAGATCGGACACTGGTTTGGGCTTGGATCATTTACTTACATAGCGATTTAGTGTTATAAATATATGACCTGTATTAAATGTTACATGGCAGGGAACCTTGTGACTTCATATGAAGTTATGACTTAAGGTAATTAAAACAGTTGATAGTGTGAATATATATTATACAACTTAAAAAACATTGAGATGATTCTCAGTAGTTTGCTTTTAAAGCAATTGTAGATATCTGTTTCTCAGCTGTCTTTAGATTAAAAACTCAAATCTTTAATTTTAATAACAGAAGCTTTGTAAAATACAGAGTCATAAAATAATTGAGTAAATTCCTTAATTGTCATTTATTGAAATGAGTAATTAGAAGTTGATCTTTTCCGTGACTTATTTTTCTGAACAATAATTGGTCCTGAGCATTTCATTACAAAAATGTTAGTTTTATTCACTTTAATGGATAGCTTAATCCTTTGAACCAATAAATATCTTTCTTCTGCTATGTCCTTTTTTTAGTAGGTGTCTTTTTAAAATGAGATCATTTTATTTACAATTCTGTCCTTGTTACAGGACCCTCGAGTGTCTCTTTTCCACCAAGTGTGACTGAGCATGGCCTCGAGTGCCAGTCTGTTTTTCCTTCTCAGTATAAGAGCCACTCCCTCAAGACCCTGCATATGGTGATTTCCCTTGACTGAACTTTCAGATATTTTTTAGAAGAAGCATTTAGCCTGAGCCACCTAGCCAAAAGCGATTCTTTAAATGATCAGTCTTTGTCCTGGAGGTAGAGCACCAGTAATTATTATTTATTGCTGTTGTATGTTTGGTTATTTAGTTTTAACATCTGGATAAAATGTCAGTCTTGCCAGTAAGGTAAACTGTAAATTGCTTTTTAATATCTGTCCTGCACATTTTTATAGTTAGCACTTTTCGTCTACCAGTAATTTGATTACCCCAAATTATGGTACTTAGATCTCTTTTACTTATTTCCTGTAATGCTGCTCATATGGTAAAGTGTAGTCCTAGCAAATAAAATGTCTTTTTCTTGTAAGATCATCAAGGGACACAGAATTAATTTATTTACTTAAAGTTACATATTTTTTTTTCCAGTTCAGAATGAGCCACATTACTCATTTTAATATTACACTCTAGTATTCAGGAGATAATAGAAATTTTTCCTTTTCCTGTGAATAGATTAAAAGCTGTCTCATATCAATATTTTATCACACTTGGTGGTAATTAATAATTTTGTTGTTAATTTCTAATTTGCTTTTTATATATTTGCTACATAAACTGGCTAAAGTCTGAAGTTGCTGCTTTTTGGGTCATGGGGTAGGTAATGGTGAGGGCAAGTGTACCAGGCGCCCGTGGCTAGAATGGTCTGTTACATAACCTACTTGTCAATGTAGGCTGCATCTGTAAGATAACGCATGTCAGCTGCTGTGCACCGTAGCACATTTTCTAGCACCACACGTGAGTATGTTGATGGAGTTTCTTTTTCTTCTCTTATTTTACATCTTGAGTTTTGGTGCCAAGTTTTCTTTTTCATGTGAGGTTTTGTTTCTGCTTATATGATTGTCATTGCTGTTGGCCATTAGATTTGAGATTGGCCACATCTAAAAATAAAAACACACAGGATTAGATGTCAGTTCTGCGACCAGACTAAGTGTTTGCAGACTTTAAATATCTAACTCCCTGCAGACGCTTCCCATTCTCATTTTTTCCCAGTTATGGGGTTTTCGTAAGTTGAACTGTCATCATCCTTAACTTTGCTTCATTGCAGCCAGGATTCGAGTGCTGCTTGCTCCACACGTAGACTTTTTGATTGGAAGAAGGGCATATACTAACATGGAGAAGTTGTTGCCTTAGTCGTCTTCTGAATGATCAAGTAAGGAACAATGTAAAATTAAGTCTTAATGTGATTTTGGAGAAAGACTTTTAAAACTTGCTGTCTGATAATTAAGATGACCTTTCACTCCTAATATTGTAAAGTGCAGATTTCCAGCCTTGGGCTATCTTTACTTATAGTATTCTGGCACTCATTGATTTTGGTTACTTTATTTTCTTGAGAGATAAAGTGGGAAATGTTTCCACATCAACCAGATGTTAAAGTGGATTTTTTTATGCCTCAGGGTAGTAATGAAGTGATTTAGCAGGATTTAGAGGTACAGAATTGCTCGCATCTAAGGCCAACTTGCTAGTCCATTTTAATATTGCATTGTACAGGTGCCAGTGTTTTATTAGGTTGTGACAAATTCCCCTAGCTTTCTGTAGGAGAGCGTTTCTGTAGAAGCCACTGACTCTGGTAGCCAGATCTTCCAGTAGGCTACATGTATTTTAACTTAATTGTTTTGTTCTCAAGAGGAACTTAGCTGTGACCATCAGATAGCTGCTGAAGCATCTATAGCCTTGTATAAGCAAGTTCAGTGACTCACTCTGGAAAAAATCTTTCTTGCCTAAGTTAGAAAACAGACACAATTGGCTGTAATAACAAAAGTTTGAAAATGTGATCTTAATAGACTTTTTTAATGTTTCAAAAAAAAGTAATTTGTTGAACTCTTAGAAATTCTTAACTGAAATGGAATTGCTGTAGTTTGGTGCATATTTATGATCCACCTTTATTTGCTTACCCATAGAGCTCTGTCTGGAAGCAAAATTTTCATCAGGGCAAATCATGCGATGAGCATATTTAATACTGGTGTCAGAAGTTGGTGTGCAGCTTTTGCCCTTAGCAAAATGTAACCCAGATTTACTTTATTAGACATTTATTCATGTTTGAAATTTGTGGTTTCTGTTCATTTGTTTCTTTGTTTGCCCTTCAGAATAATAGTCCAACCATGAAGTTTATCTGAAGTGTAACTCTAAATTCAGTTTCTGGTCTCAGATCCTCTGCTTCCAGTCCTGACCTCCTTGTGTTGCCTCTCTGACCTGCTTGTCACGACGACAGTTCCAAGGCTCTTTTTTCTTTTTATTAAATGGTCACAGGCAAGGTGGAGGGGTTACTTCCTGAGATAGCTGTTAAAGTTCTGTCTGCAGGACAGGAGAGGTAGATAGTGGGCTGACAACATTCCAGAGCTTTTGACGTTTAGTTTAGGATTTTGATTATTTTTCATAACAGCTCGAACAATGTATAGGCTTTTTGTTTGTTTTATTTATTTATTTTTATTGAAGTATAGCCAGTTTAACAGTGTTGTATTAATTTCTGATGCACAGCATAGTGGTTCCGTTTTATATATATATCATATATAGGTTTTAATGTTTGTTTAGCCATTGCTTTTTTATAAATAGTGCTTTCAAATAAAACCAATGACTTCTAAGTTCAAATATCTTTCTTTTGCTAAATTATAGGTGGGAGCATGTTGAATTTTTTTGTCAGACTCTTTGAATGAAGCTCTTATATTTTATGAATGCAAACATAATTGGGGTTCTGTTGCAACATAAAACCATCCTCAATAATGTTGAACTTGAAATGAAAACTTGGCACCAAATTTATTCAAGTAGAAACTTTAAAAAATAGTTTCTTCCTATTGTTACCTGAAGAATATATTTAAGAAAGTCTTCATAATTATGCATTTAAGAGTTTGGATACCAAAGGGTTAAAAATACACGTTTTTCTTTTACTGAAGAAGTTTTAGATGTTTGTAATGTTTTGTCTGTACAAATAGACATTTAGTAATGTTTTTCTATTTTTTTTTAATGATTCCCTGTATTTGCTTATTTCCATCTAGGAATAGTTACTAATGTATTTGAGATACAGCATACCAAATTTTAAAGTAACCAGAATCGTGAGTTAATGGTTTTTAGTCCATACTATTAAACTTTTGTTGAAATACTGACC